TGAAAAAACTGGTCGGTGCAATGGCCTACGCAGTTTAAAACCAAGCACTGTTTCAACCAGTGGGCGTCCTTTCACGCGCGATCCGCAAGTACCGCTAATTAACGCATCCTCGCTGATGTTTTCATTCACGGGTAACAACGAGAGCAAATGCACCGGGTGGGCGCATCTATCTATTTAACGTGCTCGGCGAACACCAAAACGGTTCCAGTTGGCCCGGAAAACCGAAAAGCACAATTACCTCTGGTTACGCACCACCCGATTAGGCGAAAATAAAGGCGCTACTTAGTCAGTGAGTTGACTCTTCATCGACTAATTGTCAGAGCGCTGATGTATCGACTCTTGTGGTTGAACATAAATTTCTGGCTAAATTTCGTTTCACTCTCCGATTCAAGTTCCAATTTCAATTCTAAGCGGCAACACGGAAGGAATTTATAGGCTGCTTATAAAAAAAAACAAAAAAAAAACGGCGACACGTAAAAATCAAAGTTATGCATATCCCATAACCACGTATAGGTATATTCTTTAGCATAATGAAAGGAGATTACTAATAATTATTAACAAATATTCGTACGTATTTTAAGCCAAACTTGAATCTCTATTTCTATACGTTATTCTAAACGATGGATGTGGTTTCAGAACCGCGCGATTCTTATTTTTAAATCTTGCAATTTTTACCGAGTAGGGTGTGATGCTTATTAAACGTCGCGACAAGTTGACTCTTGGGTCGTTATTTTAACACACCGAACGCAGGCACTTCGGCATAAATTTTTGTTAAATTTCATTTTACCTTCCGGCTCAAGTTTCAATTTAACCGTCTAGCGGTGATATCGAAGGGATTTATACAACGCTTATTATAGGGCGCGACCAATCGATCGAAGCCCCCTTCAATTTGCCCAGTATTGAACCGGAGAAGAGCAATCGGCGCATACGTAGGTTTCATCCCTCGAACGTCAACCCCGGGATTCGTCGTCTCGTCCGAGGGTGAGTTTCCGATTGGACGATAAATCTTGTACCGCACCGCGATCGCTAGTGATTTTCTTCTCCCATCTTGGTGGAGGCACAATTTTCAAGGTAGCTCGCAGCTTCGTTATTATTTACAGATTATCCGCGTTTACGGCTCGGAGGGAAACCTGCATGTATGGGGGTATCTCGAGAATGCAGCAACACAGCTTCCTCCAACATGGAGATGGAGGAAGCTACGTCGACACCACCCCCAAGCAGGGGATGCAATCTATTCCGGCGCGGCCCAACCGAGATACGTCCGAAAAACTCCCCCGATGCGATGCACCGTCACGCGTGCCGAAACCGCGAGAATTTTTCAGTCGAAACCAGAAGTTTTCAATTTTTCATTTTCCCGCGAACTCGCCCCTCGTACCAAATTCTCCCCCTCAAAAAAAAAAAAGAATTGCACATTCAGGGGTAGGTGCACGGTCGGACACGAATGCCTTCCCCGCAGATCTGACGCCGTCAGTGAACCACGAGAAGGCATTCACGTCCCTCTCTGTACCTTTTTGGCAGTGGATAAATAACGCTTCGTTACAAGAGCCCAAAGCGACCTCCCTCCTGCAAGCCGCCCGGAACCGCGAATTTTTTACTTACCCGTAACGAGCGGCCGGAAATGGCGTAAAACTCCCCCTTTTAGAGTTCGCCCTAACTAAACGTCAGGGAGTCACTTACATATTCAGGGAGGGCTCGTCCTCGCGGGCATTACAAAGGTTCACAGGGGCCCAATCTCTGTAAGGAACATCTCATATAAGCTTTCCTTTGTGCGCGTCCAACTACTCATTTAAAGTCCTCCCTGCTCCCCGGGCTTCGCCCACGTGGGCGCGCCCGCGAGGGTAGAATCAATTTTGCGGCCGGGAATTTAACAAATCCCCCGAAGCTCCGGAGAAATTACGGAAAATGCGGATCCCGAAAGCCCTCCGCCCGTCTACAGGGGTTTGATCGAGTTTCAGCGGCTTGTTCGCAGATTCGCGGATTCGCCTAACGAGGGAGCACTCGGGGCCCTGAATAGGGAGACCCTGGATGCGCCTGGTGCATCCCATTCATCGGGAAGTTGCACTCGTGTCCGCGGACTCGATCACGCGCCGCCCGGAGACAACGCGCGTCGTTAGGTTATTCTCTCGCCGGGTGTGGCGTCGCGACGCCGCTGACCCGCGTCCCCGAAATACTGCGGAACATCCAGCTAACGACTATTGTCGCGAACGCCTCGCCGTGGATTCAGGAAATCGCCTAATCAGGAGATGGATCCGTGTATATATGTATATATATACATACATATATTTGCTTATCGAACGCGGGTCTATATTGGATGTCTGTGTTTCCTGTCACGAGTTGTAGATATAGATATACACGTCAGGTCGATCCGAAAGTTCCGATCGTTCTCTGGCTACCAATTTTCCTGGTTTACCGACTTTCCTCTTACGCTCCTCAATGAAAACGAAAAAACTGAACGTTAATCGCGCACGGATCATTTTTTTCTACATTAAATACAAGGTTTATATGAAATACTTTGAGCGTCAGTTTTCGAGGCGTTTGTTCCTAATCGAGATTAAATGTGCATTTCAACGTAACGCGTCGTTTTACGATAATCTAAAGAATAATCAGCGATTTATGAATGATTCCCTTTAATGTTCAGAGTGTAACATTTATATGACGATTGCGAGTTTAGTTTATTCTAGAGATTTTTACTAACACACTGAATACGTAGTCGCTTATCACGAATATGTAATGGTGAATTTACAATCGACGTTCATCTCACCAATTTCAGCGGTAATTCAGTGAACGCAGAATAGACGTAACATTAACTTTGGATTTGACGTGCTAAGTGCAGACGTTAAAACATGCAAAACACGTTACACCACTTCTAAATGTGTATTCCGAAACTTCATGTCTATCGAGTACTGATCGACCGACTCACTGATTACTGGTCTTAGGTTTAAATATAATATATAATAAAATATAATATAATATAATATATAATAAAATTAATGTTTATTTATATATATGACATTTTCATACACCTTAAAGCGCTGTTTCGCTTTCAGCGTTTCGAACAGTGAATATTAGTCCGAGTACTCAGACTGTCGTCACTGTCAGGTCTATTATACTCCCAATGCGCATTTAGATATTTGCAGTTAATCTAACTAACCTATCACTCGTCTGGATATATGGCCGCAGCGGTCCGCCGTTCTCTCGGTCAGGTCGTTCCCCAGAGTGGCGACGCGACACTTGCCTCGCCCGGAGCAGAGTTCGGCGTCCGCAAACTCCCCGACCGGCGGTTGCTGCCTCGACTGCGCCGTGGAACGCATCCCGGCAACGCAGGGCCCGCGCGCGGTGCATATTCATTTCGATGTATTAATGATATTCATGAAAGCGTTCACGGTGCCGGAGACCGGCGCTGCTCGTAGCGCGTAACGGAGGTCCGACGTCGCCGGCGGCCGAGGGGGTAGTGAGAGCCCACGCTTGCCGCGAAGTCGGGACCCTACGAGGGACCCTCCCCCCACATGGGCCGCCGAGGGAGCGCGCTCCTGATTGGTCCGCCGCGGGCCGCTCGCGGGCACCGGGCTCCTATAAAAGGCCGCGCGGGACCTGCGCCCTTTATTCCCACTCGGGAGTCGGAGCCGAGCGCGTGGTCCTGGTACCTCGGAGGGATTCCGACAAGGGACCCGCAGGGGAGGTTCACCCGGGAAAGGTGAGTTACCGTCGTTTCACGCCCGAAACAACGTAATACCCTGCCCTCGGTACTTCTCGGATCCCCCCTCGAGTTGCTCGGCAGCTTTCGGGAGATCCCAACATTTCTGGGGGCCTAATCTCTCGGATAAAAATTAAAAAATCGAACCGGCTTGGGAAAACAAATTGAACGTCAAAAGGACTCCCAAGCCGAGATTTTTCGAGAGAGATTGAGAAAAAGGGGGGGCGTTAACGGGGGCTGATAATGCGAACCGCGCGCCACTTTCGGCGTAGCGTGTCTCAGCGATTAATCCACGAGTCTATATATCTAAGAGCATTTTCGAGCTTCCCCTCTTTTTCTCTCTTCCTTCTTCCGCCTCGCTCCGTCCTTCTTGCCCCCGTCGCTTGCTCGCTCTCAAGGCTGGCGGAGTGCCGAAGAGAAATGGCAGCGATACGCCAGTTTCGCGCTGAGAACCCTAATCGACCGTGCCGCCCCTCCCCTCTCTCTCACCCCCGAGCTCTCGCGTTCTGCGTTCCGTCGCCCCGGTGGAACTTGGCGCGCAACTTGGGCCAACTTATCCCCAACTTGGCGAGACTTCACCCCCGCGCTTGGCAGCGTCGCGACTGCCCGAAGACCTTGTTTCGTATTTGCGTGCACGGGGACCGTGCGAGGAGATATCCGTTTTTTCTCGTTCCCTCCTACCTACTTTCGGTCCAACTCGCGATTACGGGAGATAAACGGTTGCGTAAGTTCCTAGGTGACAAGGGGCTCCGCGTTCCTCCGTAAAAACTTCCTCGCTGTGTCAAAAGAGTCCATTGCTGGAACTAAACTCGATTTGACCATCAATGTTCTGCCTAACACGTCCAAAGGGAGGTACACTCTAAATGTATACCACCTGTGCATAGTTAATGAAATCTCTAATTTTACCTTTTTTTTTTTTTAATTATGCAAAATATGAATCCCTGAAGTCATTAGATAATTCCCAAGGTCCCATCAGTATCTGGGAATTTTTTTAAAATCCGAGTTTAAAACGGTAGCAACGACCGGGTTTCTAGGTGGAGAATGGTCACCGACAGTGACGCTGATTGCGTTATTGTCTCTCGGCGAGCCGCATGTGAGGTTTCTACAGAATCCGCTTGGAATTGCGATGGAATTCTACAACGCCTTAACGCGTAGCTACGTTTCCCCGATGTTAACGCGTTGCCTGTCACGGTGGTCAACCAGTGACCGGTAACCGCCTCAGTGGTATCCTCGTAATTTGTTTTGGCAGTGAAGGCGTTAAGGGTAAAATCGGCAAGGGCGGAAGACGTGTGAAAATAAGACTCACCGGCAGGGACGCTCCTGTGGAGGGGGGCTGCCGGCGCGGGGGGCACGGAGCCGGCGATGCTGTAGAGCGTCTGTCTGCTGTCGTATTTCAGGATGCTACAGTGGCAGGGGGTGGTGGGAGTGGTGAGCCCCTCGTTCCCTCTGGCGCCGCCTACGACGGAGATCTCGTCGAGCTCGTGGCCGCTATCGTAGTGGCAGAGACGGGTAGCGCTGGTGGTGGGCCCGCCGCCGCCCCCGCCCCCGTCGCCGTCGGTCCGGCCGCCGCCGCCGCCGCCGCTCCTACCCCCGCTGCGGCCCCGGAGCGACTGCACCAGCCGCTTGGCGCCCGAGGACATCCCGCGGAGGTGATCCAGTCTGTCGGTGAGCGCTTCGTGCGCCGGCCGGAAGTAGCCGAGACCGGCCGAGGGCGGACCGCCCCCCGCGCCGCGGTAGTAGATCGCGTCGACCGACGTCCGCCGAGGGCCGCGCGTCACCGGCGCCCGAGCCGCCCCGAGGGGGGCCTCATTCAGCCCGGCTCCTCCCGCCCCACCTGCCCCCCGCGGGTCGCGTCACCCCTGGACCCCGCGGTCCCAGGGGACGAGCCACCTTCCGTCCTCGCCCATTGTCCCCTCGCCCCTCGCCCCGGACGCCTCGCCGACGGCCCGCGACCTCACGGCCCCCGAGCGCTCATTTCCCGGCCCCCGGCCGGACCGAGCACTTCGCGCACTCCTCGAGACCTGCTGCGGCCTGCGTCGACGGCGCCATCTTCCGATTAGCGCAGCTCACGGCCACCTGCAACATAAAGAGGATCCAGTCACTACTTCTGGGTCTCCACTCGCGCCCCAAGAGAGAGACCGGCAGAGAAACGGAGAAGTATCCCGCGAACTTTGCGAGGATTTTGTACCTCGTGGGGGATTTAAATGTAAGCGCGAATAGAACACGGATCGCTCATCGGAGTTCGATTAACAGGAGATGGGGCTTAACCGCACCGTTATCCAAGTACCCTTTTGCTGTACATTCTGGCAGTGCCTGCTGGAACAAGGCCGTCGATTGACGTTCCCGTTCTCCTTCATCCTAGGTTACTTATGATAAGGAATATATTGCTAATTACCTTTATACCTGTCCAAAAATAAAATCTATGTATAAACGATGCGTGTGTCTAGGTGTTATTCGATCGAACCTCGTGCACTTTGACGATTTGTGGTACCCACCCGTGCTGGGGTAGAGATACTCGTGCGTGTTCGTGGTCCAAGGTTCTAGGTTATTCGGATCCGGATCCCTTGCGGATTCCCTGTGGTGGTTGGTCGGGCAATATCGCAACATTTTCTCCCTCTTTACGGCCCAGTTCGGGAGCTCCACTTATAGGGAAGTAAACGCGCGACCACGGGGCCGTGGATCCCCTACGCCGCGGAAAAGTTGGAAAACCGACGTGGCCGCATCGCGGACCATTGACGGATGCCAACTCGAGGGGCTCGAAGGCCGCTCGAGAGCCGTGAGGGGAAAGAGCAAGGGTTGCGAGGGGCAAACGAGACACGGGGCAGACAGGCTGAATAACGAGGGCATTGAGCCGTCGCGTTCGGTTAGCCTGACGTATTGTTTTCACCTACTGTTCCTCTCCGTCGCTCCGTTGGGGGGAGGGCGACGTCGAACGAGACCCCCTCTCGACGAGGGCTGTCGACGGAACTCCTCGAGAGGATCGGGAGGTCCTCCCGAGGGAAGCTTGTCGGGGAAATGTCTAAAACCCTGAGAGAGATTTAGTTACTCGCGTCCGTTTTTGCTGTCCGACTTCCTTTTATTCTCACGTCGGTAGATTCTCACCGAGGAATGGTGTTCGAGGAAAGCCGCTCTCTTCCAGGGAATTATCACAATATTTGTTCTCTGGGAATAGCGGTGAACAGAATAAATAGGGAAATAAAACACGAAAAAAAAAATAACGACTGCCGTTTCATCGCTAGTATTGAAATTTTACTAATTATGAGGTCTAAGGGGCCATCGACGTGAGGGGTAAAATCCTTAATATTCAATGTATAGACAATTTATGCTAATACCATTTAAAAACGGTGGGAGGTTTAGGGCTAATTGCACTAACCGTGATTAAGGTGAAATTTCTTATCCGTGATTGATTAATCTTGAATTAGTGCAATTCCATATGCACCGACAAATAGCTAAGTTAACCGCAAATCAAAATCCATTATTTAGTAATTTTTTGATGTCGGATTTTGAACTTCGGTTAGCCTAATTTTTGCTGGTGCAACGGGAATTTCGCTAGTCCTTGATTTAGTTTAAAAATTCCATGCTAATCACTGTTGGTGTCATCGGCTCTCGAAGTTATCAGGAAAAGTACCTGGGTTAATGCGAATTAGTATTCCTTCTGGATGAGACGGAGAATCCAGGAGAAAAGGGCCGAAAATGGAACAGACACGGACGAGTCATCAGCCCCAAAATCTAATCTAAGGGGTTTGGAACCCTTTTTCAGGGGATGGGAAGAAAGGGGAAGGTCGGAACGACTAGATGGAACGGAAGATCGTATGCTTTCCCCGAAACTTGCGAGAAGGGGATCGACGAGTCGACGTTCGCCCCCGAAGTCTGGCCGAGACGTCGATTAATGGATCGAGACGGTCGATTAGAAAGGATCCCGAAAGTGCGAAGGAGAGTCAAACGTTATCACGGAATAGAGGCCCAACGGAAGCGGGAACGGATCGACGACTCTCTCTCTCTCCCTCTTGGATAGTTTCGAGCGAAACCCCTTAATAGAGCGTGGCCTAACCTAACCCGGTGCGACGTTCCGCACCAAACCTAACGCGGGGGAAACGCTGGACAAACCAAATTTGTCGGTCCACTTCGAACGCGGAGAGAGCCTCGCTATGCAAACCCGATTCCGCGTTATATTCATGACCAGGGTGAACCCATTGAAATGTGTGAAGTGCGAAACGGGTGGAGCCCTTTTTCGGGAAATGACGGAAACGTCTGGTGGCCGATGTCCTTCCATTTTTCGCGTTAAAACGCGTTTCCATCTTTTTCAACGCAAGGGTCCGCACTCGTACCTCGCTTTGAAAGATATTATGTGTTCGACAGCACTTTGAGGCAATTTTTTGTGTAAATAAATTCCCTACAACGTTTTGTGGTATGAATACACGCTCAATAATTTCATAGGACTGGCAAAATAATAACTTGCAGTTCATATTTCTTTCGACTTCCGCGGTTAAAAGAGTATCCGCTTCGTAGAAACGGGGGAGAGTGTTTGATAGCACTTTGAGGCAATCCAGAAAGATAGTGAGAGGAGGTGGTGCCGATAAAATGGCACGACGGAGAGTCACCCTCGAAGCCCCTCGACGAATGGCACGTGAATCGTCGGTGATCGCGAGTCGCGACGCCGCTCAATCGGCGGGGGGGATCGAATGGCGGAAACTGATTGGCCGGAATAAAAGGGAGTAAAAAAAAAAGAAGGGTGAGAAAAAAAGAGGAGCGGGGGTGCGACACGACGACGCGCCCGACGCGTGTTATTGGCACAATTGGAGTGCGAGGATGAGGGGCTTTCCTTAAAGCCTCCAATTGGCTTGACCTTTTGCAATGGTATCATTCGATACAGATCCAATTCAACTCAAGAATTTCCATTGTAGCGTGGCATCGACTTCCGGTCCAACGTCGACTATCGGGTTCGAATAGAAACGTTATTGTACACAGTTCCGGTTCGCGCCACAACAAAACGTCGTCATGGAATATTCCCTCACCATGTTTTTTTTTTCTCGTTTATTTCGTTACATGTTAAGTGACGGTGAATTTTCCTTCTTCCTTCGCGGATAGCCGTACCGTAACTTAAGGGAAGGTATTTGAAAACCCATTCGGCACTTAAAAACAATTAAACAAGTTCCCGAAGGTACACATCCAGTTTGGCCTTATTCCCGAGTTTTCCTTTGGAGCGACTCGTATTTGCGCACTTTTGCACGAGGTGCTCAAATAGGTGTGGAAACAAGGTCAAACTGGATATACATTTATACGAACTTTATCGTTCCTAAGTACAACATCTATCACCGAAGTTGCACCTTCTACCCGATACGGTGAATGATCGAAATCGGCGAATGTCGTCAATCACCCACCGACCCTCGGCAGCAACGTAAAGCGAAAATTCACGAAATTATTTCTACACAATTTCTGCCTACTTATTCCGTACATCAAACCCCCCAAGCTTCTTATTTTACAGTCACATAACCTTGAAATAACACGATATACAAAAATAAAATTATTCAACAGGTACAAGTGATATTAAATAACAATAATTTAAATTTTACGTACACGTCTAACGATCACATTATCCTTACGTAACTGCGTTATGTGGGAATGATTTATCACCCTCAATTATCCACTGGTAAACGTTACGCGTATAATATATCATACATAGGTATGTACAAGTACCGAAATGTGAAAATGAAAACTCGTCTAAATAGATGTGCCCCCCAGGGAAGATTTATCATTGCAGATTCCTCAAGAAGCGTCAATGCGGTTATCACCAAGGAGGATCGCCGCGCCTCGCCATCCGGAAGGGTGGGCCTCGAAAAGGCTTAAATTGGAACTCCCCCCGGCGATAATCTCCGGCGTTCCTCTCTCTTTGAGAAGCCCGTCAGGTGTTCCAGGGGGAGGGATGAGGAATTTTCCCCGAGAGCTTTCCATTTCTCGGGTCGCCGAATTCGGCCCGACTTTGACACGCGAGTCGAGGCGTCAACGGCAGGCTTTGGGGTTCGTCGGGTTCCCGAAACGAAATTAGACCATCAGGATTCGAATGTTGGATCCTCCCTCGGTGGGGGTGGATGTCCACTTCAGGGCCAAGCCGGAGCCTTTTGGGGGTACTTGCTGACGAGCGACCTGACGCGCCGCAGGTGCACCACAGGTGCGTCAAGGGTGTACCAAAGGTGCACCACAGGTGTGTAACGGGTGTACCAGCGGTGTACCGGAGTGTACCAACGGTGTACCACCGGTGTATTTGCTGGCTGGTTCGGCACAGTCCCGGAGGGTTCAATGGTTCACAGGTGTAATGCGATATTTTTGGTATTTGATCCCTTATTTGACCCCGGTGCGTTTCCGAGTACCACATATATATCCATTAATTTATTTAACAATGTTTACAGGTACATGCAAAAAGGGACGGTACCTGAACAAACGATTTCCCCATAATTAAGAAATTCGGAATCAGTCAGTGAAGATCTTCTCGGGGAGTACCACTCGTTTCCCAAATGGGTGGTCGTAGCCTCGAGCCAGGGCGCAAGAAAATTCCCTTATTACAGCGTACGGATATTTCGTGAAGGGGTGAGTCGGCACATCAGGGACTGTCAGCGGATAAGGGATGGGAGAAAAAGTTATCGCGAGCAAGAGGGCCCTAGGGAATCAGAGCGGAATTTCAGATAATCAACAGGGGCGGAAAATTATGAAGATCGCCCGGAGAGGGGGAGCGAAGGCAACGGCGGAATTCCAAGGGGGAAGCGAGGGTACGATTACAAGGTGGGAAAGAAGTGGAGGGACTCCGTCTAATGCCGGGGCAAAAAGCGGAACTGTTTACCCGAGGTAAAATTACCGAGGTGGACCGCTCCGGTGAGCTTACAGACCACGTATTCGGTATCACCGCCTGAGGGGGGGATTACAAGGGGAAATTATTAACCCAGATTCTGAAAAGCGCTCCCCGGAAATCCGTTTAGAGCCGTGGAAAATGCTCCGTGAAATGACGTTTCTTCTTGGTCGAACCGAAAGCCTCGGCGCACAGCTGACCGCACTGCACATCGCGAAAGTGCAACGATGCGCTATCAGCGGCTCTACGAGCAACTTTGTAGGACACTATCAGCGGTTCAGCTGGCCATCAAAGACCAGAGAGACCCCAAAGAGACTACCACGATTCGCGGAAGAATATTTATCGGAGCCTGCCCTTTCTGAAAAATTCCTAAACGTTCAAAGAGGACATCACTCACGGAGAAAAATCGTCAAGCCCCGAAGTGGATAAACAAATATCTCATAAATTCAGGGCTACCTCAAAATTCCCATTAATCGAGAACACCTGCTTCCATTATTCCCATTCTTCGTTTTTGTTTTTCTTTTTAATCCGAAAACTTTTAATCCCACCCAGCCAGGCGCCAGAAGGGGGGTCGCAAACCCCCCTGAAAAATGCATAAATTCCTGGCAAAGGCAGGTTCAAATTTAAAAATATTCATGTGCCAACGGGGCGGAAACCGCACCAGGCCGGACTCTCGGGAGCGGTTTGCGACGACGAGGAATTTCTATCGGACATCCTGAAAAGCGTCTCGGAATTCCGCGGGAGCCCGAGGGAATCCTTTCGGAATTTTCTGAGACGCGTCCACGCACTTTCGAGTACAGAAGGGGATCTCTCTCTTTCCGACACACGTACGTACTCTCTCAACCCCCCTATCTGCCTTATCTATCTCTCCTTCTCTCCTCGTGTAATACCGCGCTGCACGGGCGGCCGCTCGCGAGAAAGAGGGGGAAAGAGGGTGGAGGGCGCAAAACGGGGGAGGAATGTTCCAAATTATCGCGAGATTTACATAATGCCGAGAGCAGCTTCGAGGCGAGACTTCAAACGACTCTTGGCTCTCGCATCGAGACGCGAGTATACCGGGGGTGGCTCCTTTCATGTCGACGGTGGAAGAGAGACTGCCAAGTGGAGGAAGAAATAACGAAAATCCGAGAAAGGGAGATTCCTGCCCTCGAGGCCGCGGAAAATTCCCCCGCTCATTTGAGCCCGATATCCCCTCCTCACTTTTATCTATCGCCTCTTAAAGGTTAACCTCCCTTATCGTAACGTCGATTCGCCGTCAACAAAGCGGTCCGTCAACAAACTATCTCGGAAGAAAAAGTTAAAAAAAATAAATAAACAAGGAAAAAAATACGCACCCAGTTTTGAGCACCTTTCGCGAGTTTTTCCATCTCGTTATCCGACCCCAACCCTCGCTTGGGGGGGAGGGGATTTGATTTTGTTCCCGCCACGTACAAATCTCTGATACGAGCCTGCAGATGAAACAAAAAAAAAGGATACATGTATATGTATATACATATATATGTTGTCGAGTTTCACCGGATTTCCATCGGGCCTATAACACGTCGCCATCGAGCCGCAACGATAAATTCACGGTCTTTCTGCTCGCCGAAATTACAACCGTGCCGGTCGGGCGTATAAATTGTGGTTCGACAATTTTGGGCCCGCGCCGTCCGTGGAAATTGCCTTTCGAGGGCTCACTTTATTTCCAAGGCGAGTCTAAATTTAAGGGGCCGAATTTGGGGTAATTTCCCGCCGTGAATAATAAACCGAATGACCCTGTCATAATGGTGCGCCCTGATTTCTGGTTGAAACATTTTTCACCCCCTGTTTCAAGGAATCTGCGACGGAATAAAATGTTACGGAGATCTTTGCACCCTTCGAAATGATTTAAGAAACTATTAAAGAAATTCGGGCGTGTAGGTATAGGATTTTCGCGTTGTTTCTTTTTTTTTTTGGAAACGGATCGGGATTCCACCTTGCGTTCAACCCTGTTAGTGGTGCATATTGATTTTTCATTGAGATATTTTTTACCCTCCATTTCTTGTAGTCCGCGGCTGAATAAAATGTTATGAAGTTCTTTGCACCATTTTAAATGATTTAGGAGATTAGTTAAATTCGGCCGTGAAGATATAGGATTTTCGCGGCTCTTTATAAACGGCTCGGATTCCACCTTGCGGTCACGACGAGAACCCAGTTCCACCCTCTCTCAAGGAATTTTGACGACATCGTTATCCTCCCTATCCTTCCCTCCCCACTTCTCTGTCATTCCCGGGATCGCTGACCGAGTTGGACGAACTCGAAGAAGTTCCCCTCTTCGGGAAATTAAGAGTGGTTTACTTCGCGAGGTCAAGAAACTTGCCCCGAGTTGACCGCGATGTATATACACGTATGCGCCTCTATTTTAATTAATTTATTTATTCCTGGCCTTCCCTCGCACTCTCATATTCATTATTTCCTCTTCGCCTAATCAGGGGAGCTTAACTCCCCTTTCTGCTCGAGAAGCCGAAGAATCTCGCATTATTCAAGATCCATTAACAGACAATCATATTATCATCTATTGCAGAACTTTTTAACATCGTCTCTAAGACATTAAAAATCCCTCGTGCAACCAACACTTTTTAACACAAACTATTCCAAATTTCGTACTCTATAAGAGTACGTTCGAACAGAAATTACGGAGAAAATGGCTGCGGTAACGTCAAGAGGGGATATCTAATTGACATGGGAATTTTCATAAATCACTGTAATTTGTTTTGTCAATATTATTGAAATACCAGTGGCCGGGAAATTGTTGAAGATTATTACCGACTTCCGCATAATAGCGCATAAACGTTGTGTTCACAATGGGAGGTCCATTATCATTATGATACAATATGAAACGTGACTTTGCAACCGACACGTTATCAAGTGTAGAAAATATACAATCTCCTATAAAAAATCAACGTTTCCTTTAACATAATTGAGACTGAAAACTTGTTATTGTTTGAGAGTTCACGGTTTCGGTTCATTAAACGCGTCGCTTAGAAAATTCAAGACTTTGGCAATTTTTTACTAGTAATTCCATATGCACCTGTAGATAAAATTGTTTATTAAAGTCCAGTACGATTCAATTCCCCTGACTACTATTTTCCGTGTCTTATTTCCGAACTTCTTACGGTTTTCGGAGAAAAATAATTTATATTTCCAATTATTGACTCTCCGGGTTTTGTCAATCTCCGTCACGGCGTTATCGCGCACCTTAAATAACGAGGACTGCGAGGCGAGCTCATTGCAAATATCGGAATACATTATTCTAGGAAAGTATGTCAAGCAGGCGGTACATTTTTCATCCATTGAATTCGTCGACCGTCAAACATAAGCGACGCCGGTAAGAAATGAACGGGAAACTCCCGAGGAGTTATTCGTCGTGACTCTCGTAAAATCTGAAAAAAAAAAGAAAATTTAATTAGGAGCGACAAATCCGAAGTACCGTCACGCTTGCCATTAGTTCCGAGTCCAATTTTCTCGCTTCCGATTTACAGTTAATTAAAGACAACGAAAGAAATCCGATGCTTAACACAGCTCACTACCATCTAAACGCTATCAGCTGTCCTGGATAAATTAATTTCCGAATTTAAAAAACGGACCAGTTTTAACAGACCATTAATGCATTCCGGCCGTTTGAAGAAAAAATCAGAGTGGACGTCACGCGAGATGTCCATTTCATAACTTCCTGTCATTATCGTTTGCGAGATTGCTCACGGGTCGGTATAAAATGAAGGTAACAGCCTGACATTGGAAACAGTGAAAATGTGGCTGGTGCAAGTCCTGTTGGTCTGGTGGTCTGTCCAGACGACGTTGGCCACAGAGGAGGTCCTGCTGGACATCCCTCAGGGGACCCTGAGAGGGCTCAGGACGAAAACAAATTGGCACGATGTGCCCTACTACAGCTTCAAAGGCATTCCCTATGCAAAGCCCAACGTGGGGATTAACAAGTTCCAGGTACCCCTCCTCCAGGAAGTCTTTTTCAAATTTCCTCTTTAATTGCAGGCCCGACAGATCTGCGGCGTGGGATGCGCAGTATAAAAAATAGCTTTGTTCCTGATCTTTCAATTAATTCTAATTGAATGTCTCCTTTTCATTTAAAAAAGGACCCGCAACCCGCTGAGCCTTGGACAGGGGTGCACGACGCCACGAAACACGGGTCCAGCTGCATGAGCTATTGTTTGATAAAGCAGATGGTCGTGGGAGACGAAGATTGCCTCTTCCTGAACGTGTACACCCCGGATCTCAATAAGGATGCCAAAAGGGCCGTTATAGTCTGGATCTACGGGGGAGTTTTCACCCGAGGCTCAGCTGACGACCTCTTGTATGGGCCGGACTTCCTGGTGGAGCACGACGTGGTGCTCGTCACTCTAAACTTTCGCCTCGGCGTTCTGGGTACCCTAATCGAAATGTTCATCTTCCTTAGAAACAAATTGTAGATCTTAAATGTGTACGAGATAATCGAAATAATGGTAATTTCAATACAACGGAGGTCCTACTACAGACCTCAAGGTGATACGAAAGTGGCGTTAGAAGGATGTCGATTATGACATTTTTCTCTGAATTGGGAATAACCGAATCGTCTCAAACCACGTAAACGTGGAGGTCGTAAGGTGATACAAAAGGGTCATTCTATATATATAAAAACGTCAAAAACTTTCCTCCAAATTGGGTGCACCGAATTATCCTGAAACTTTAACATGTGATTATGGAGGCGCTAAGGATGAACGCGATGTTCGTGAAATTTCATCTTTCGAGAAAAAGAATGTCTTTTTTTTTCTTGTTCGAGATAAATACAAATTTTTTGTATCGCAAGTCTTAGCTCCAGGTCGGCTGATTTCGATCTGCAATCTCCAGGATTCCTGAACACCGGCGACAAGGTCGCGCCAGGAAACGCCGGTCTCAAGGACCAGGTGATGGCGCTGAAGTGGGTCAGGGACAACATAGTGCACTTCGGAGGATGTGCCCACAGGGTGACGATCGCAGGCCAGGGTGCCGGTGGGGCCTCGGTCATGTACCACCTTCTCTCCCCCATGTCCGAAGGTAAGGTCGAAGGGGAGGGTCCTTCCTCCGAGGGGCGCCGGTAACCTGGAGGGGCTCCGCAGGTCTCTTCAAGGGTGCCATTCTGCAGAGCGGCTCGGCCGTAAATCCTTGGACCCTTTCCCACACGCCCCGAGAGGATGTTTTCCGCCTGGCAAACGCTCTGGGAATCGAGGCCACCGACAGTACCGAACTTCTCAGCAAACTCGTCGAGGTTCCTTCCACGGATATTGTCCTTGCCTGCCAAGGACTGCTGGACCCGAAGGTATGCCCGTTTCCAGGACTAAACAGGGCACGAACTTCCATGAGCCGAGGTTTTCGCCGTTTCTCCCTGCTCGAAACGTCCTTCGCCATTTTTTTTTCCCATAAACGCTCTTTATATTTATCCATACGTTCACGGAAAAATTTCATGCTGAGAATGTTTTCTGGAAATAATTAAAATTGTTCATTAAGGCGTGGTTCGTTTCGTTGCAAAAATCTGCTGCAACTGTGAAGGAACTTCCGCCGCCATGCATTGCTGCCTGAATGTCGTTCTGATCTTGAAGTAGATGCACAAACCGGATCTTCCATTTATGATTCAACTGCACTCAAAAGTCTCGAGTCAAATAGCATAACAAGATTACGTAAAAAGGCAACTAAACGACAACAAAGAAATGATCTGATGCCTTTTCACATTGTCAGAAAACCTCGAACGGCAAAATTTTCCCCTTCGTTCCTTCCGTGGAGCCGGACGTTGGACAAGACGTATTTTTACCAGACGATCCTTGGCAGATCCTGAAATCAGGAAAAATCGCCGACGTTCCTTTGATCGGGGGAATGGTGCTCAACGAAGGAAAGATATTCACAAGCAGTAAACAAACAATTTAATCTCTATCAAATGACAGGGTGCCTAAACCCCGATTTTTCATTCACGAAATATCTGCCAATTAATTTATTACAGGATTGTCTAGATATACTGACTACGTAAACCAGCATTTTGAGGAGTTCATCCCGTGGCCTCTGAATATTACCGATCCCGCCCGAATCAAGGAAGTCAGTGAGTCCTTGAGGAATTTCTATCTTAACGGAAAAGATATCAGTACCGATAACGACAATGGCTTCGATCAAGTAGGTATAAACCATGCACCGCGTCGACGAACTCGCTGCACATATTAAACGTACTCGAAAGGAAGTGCTGCATATTCATGAACATCCCGTGTCATACTTGAATGCATATATATACACACACACACTCAATTAACCTTGAATGCACGCAAGCTTCATCGCAGCTTTCTACGTGTGAAGTGCTTCATTTAAGGGTTTTCGACGCAATATAATAAGAATAATATACAAGGCGTATTTTTTTTTTTTAATGTAATATAATCCTTCGTCTTGTAATTTTGAAATAAGATCATTTATGTACGTTAACGTAATGGTGAAATTCCCTTCGATTTATAAGATTATTTTCATGTTCGATAATTCTGCAGACAATCTGATATTTTACCAAATTTTCAGCTGGTGACTGACATGGGGTTCACTCACGGGATTATATTTCCTCTAAAAATCATTTCATATCGCAACACTTATCCGGTTTACGAGTATATTTTCACATTCGAGTCACCGTACAATTTGATGAGGACACTTTTCAATGTTTCCGGAGGTGAGTTCTTTTTTTTTTTTCTTTTCCTAGATATGAATTTAGACAACTCTTTGCTCTGACTTCGAAAAATGGAGTTAAATGTTCTTCGTGAGACTCTATAATTATCATGTCGCAGATACAGGAGCCACGTACGGGGACGAGTTGAGCTTCGAGTTTTATACGAATATCGGCATGAATATACCGGAGCCGGGAAGTGTGCAGGATAAGATGACGAACATCCTGACGAAACTTTGGACGAACTTCGCTAAGGACGGGTAAGTACTTTCCTATGTTACGCGAGGAGGAAGAATTCCTGGAGAATAATTAATTTGAAAAGCCCTTCGACAGGAACCCGACGTCGAAGCTCGATGATGATGTGACAGTCAATTGGGAACCTCTCGGCAAAGAGGATAATTACCTCAACATCAACCCAAAATTAGAGATGGAGAAGGATTTGTGGAAAGATAGAATCTACTTCGGGGCCAACTTGTACAAGGACATCCTAGGAGACTACTATACACTCTTTCAATAAAAGCATCTGAAGGAGCGGAGGAAATTGAATGATCTATGACTAATTTTTCGGCTTGATGTTTCCATGATTTTATGAAAATAGTATACATATAGCACAGGTAGTATCTCTGTGAAGTAATAATAAAATAAGAACTTCTTAATCGGTTCAAGGCGAATCGGAAAGGATGTACAGCTAGCTTATAATCCCGTGAGACATTAACCGTAAATAAATGTGGTAAATCGGCAGGTTTAAATAAATTGATTAGATTGCAAGAAAGTTCAAATCTCAACCCTTACGACGGTTTCTAAGAAATGTTTATCTTCATTTCTTAAAGAAATTAGATATTGATTATCAATGGATTTAGACAATTTGACGATACGGTGTTTTCATGTACTTTGCATATAGTTGCCTTGGAAATTATTAACACAAGTCCACTTCGAATAAGCATTCCATTATGTCTGCAAAGGTATATCCCGAGCAGGACCTTTTATACCAGAATCAGCAGGGATGAAGGACATTTGTCCTCGGCAGTCCACCCCGAATATCGATTCGCAGCGATCGCGCCAAAGGTTCGGATTGAATTTCAATCTATACGACAATTCGAACGATGAGAAATGAGAGGATCTCTCCGAAGACGAGCTGTCACGAGGGCCGATAAACTACACCGGAGATCCATCCAAAAACGGATTATTTTCCAAGTGGAGCGAAAAGTGCTAGATGGGGAATGTCAGGTGGAGGAGCAAGAGAATAGGAGGGACAAAAATAGGCTCGAAGGATCATTTAAGATTAAAAGGACTTTCGACCATAACATTCCAATGAATCTACTTAGAGAAAGGGACAATGACTTCCAGAAGAATGCCCGAAAATATCCCTCAATTATAATTTTTAATAATCATCCCAACAATAATCCGCGAAATCGAAACAACCATGTATTCACCTTAAAGAAATTGCATATACATTTTCTCAGTCTATATCGACAAATTTACTCCAACAATTGACATTGCCATCGTGAAACCAAATCCTCCATAAAAAATCCGCTCTACTTAATAGGAGATAATAACGTCATGGACCTAATGTCAAACCCGAGAAATTTCGGCTATCATATCCAAGAATTTGTGCTCTCTCGAAAATAAAATCCCCTCATAGGTATCGTTCGATCGACGCTATCGACAGGGGAGAAAATGCGAGAAAAGCAGGATCTACGAAATTTCACTCCCATGCATATAGCTTAGTTCAATCACTTTTAACACTCTTCAAGGTTCCGCAGCGTCCCGAACCATGAACCCGGGGATTTTACGACCCTCCCCAGGACAAAGCCGTTTGCATCGGTGCTAGTTCCGTCGAACGAAGACGACGATTGTCTCTCGAACGTTTGCACACTGGATCTGAACAAGGACGGCAGGAGAGCCGTCATGTTCTGGATTCACGAGGCTTTGTTGCCGGCAGCGGAAACGACGATTTCCACGGTCCTGACTTCTTGGTTGAGAGCGATGTCATGTGCCTCGCATTCGACTACAAACTCGAGCCTATGACTAGGATTTTCCTTTGGAAATCACTTTTCGCTCACTATTGACTCCCCGGGACCGGTTCCTTCCGTTCCTTGTTTCCGATTTTTCAGACTGGATAAAAGAAAAAAAAAAAATGAATTTCTAAGTCGCGTCAATGTGCACTGCTTGCCAAAAACTTACAGCACAGAAATGAAACAAACGAGTCAGGTCTTACCCCTTACTTTAAGCGATAAAAGACGCCATTGTACTAATCAACATACGCGGTTATCAGACATGCCCAGCTTTGACTTTTAGGCTTTGCAGTTCTTTTGGCGAGGGATGTAAATTCTCGATTCCATATACTAATTTAAAGGACCGGTAAATTTCGTCGCAGTATATATATATTTTTTTTTATTTAATAGTGTTCAACAGGTTGGTCCTCTTTCTTTAATTAAGTAAGCCATTCAGCGGCTAGAATTTTCTGGGGTTTATTAATATCGTAGAAACGCAGGACCGAGGACCAACGCTCGCGGCGATGGGGTAAGGACGATATAATACATTTTGGAGATGGTCCCAAGAGAGTAACTATCTTCGGTGAAAGTGCCGACAGAGTATCCGCCCGGCATCGCGTGCTTTCTCCGATGCCTCGAGGGAAGGACGAAGAAAGGGCCATAAAAAGAGTAGTCTCGTCCTTCCCGGGTCTTGGCATCCATTTCAAATGCCGTCACGCGAGATCCGCTTCGGTGCGACGCTTTCTCTTATTCCACAAACTTTTCACTAATTTATTCCCAACACCCGCTGAGTAGATTGATCGAGGGCAGAACTTATGGTAATCGTGCACAGAGAAATCATCGAAGGTAATTCTGTATATGCTCAACGACTTTGGTACACGATGGCTATATAAATGTTGGTTTCAATCCACGATCGGGATATATCGGTCAGCGTCGGCCATTTGTTAATCGCGATCGGGAGCGACGGCGAAACAAGTCGATAAAGCAAACTTGCCGAGCTAAGTTTTGCCCATTTCTGGTGAGCACCGGCCTGGTCGGCGCAATTGGGTACGCGGTCATGTCGGATGTGTCACCGAGTTTGCAGGTTTGTTCCGGGGTGCCATCCATCAGAGTGGCTCCGCCATAAATCCCCGGGCCATTACCTACACGCCTCGGGAAAACGCATTCAAGCTGGGAAAATCTCTGGGAATCGAGACCACCGACGGCGCCGAACTAGTCGGAAGACCGAGCATGATTCCTTCCTAGAATATATCTTGGGAGGAACTCCGGGCCTGAATATGAAGTTGCCTATTGACTTTGAAGCCTCACCGTGCTCCGGCAGAGAGTAACGCTTTCTCAAACGTCGGCCGACCAATGTAACTCCCGTAATCAACTGCAAAAAAGAAAAAGAAAAAGAAAAAAGAAACAGTCAAAGTTACCGTGATAACGTTATCAAGAGTTTCTGACATTCGCTTTGAAAAATCGAGATATCTTAAAAGTCCCTTAACGTACCTATAGCTAGAATAACCGAAACTTTAAACAAACACCCACCTGTCGATATTAAACGAGAAAGTTTGTTGTTCCTCCGTGACGCTTTGCATTTAAACATTTCTTCGTTTTGATCAGCGCATTGCATTTCGCACCTTCTGGATCTCTCCAAAAATATTCATTCTTAAGTTATATTTTCCCGTAAACTAAAAACCTAAAACAAAAAACTAAACTAACTAAACTCGATGCCTCCATCAAGTGTTTCGCTTTAAGCTAACTCGAAGCTTGAAAAAGGATCGACTTGAAAAGACCTTCAGGACCAAGGTCACGTTGATTACTTATTCCTTCTCAGGACATTTGGGGACCGTTCATGAAACCGAAAACGCGAACTCCTGTACCTACGTAATCACAAAATTCTAATCCGCGTTGTCGCGGATGTATCGACGAGGCACCTTTTTATTAGTACAGTTGTTACGTATTCTCCGGGGTTCCTCGCGTCTCGTGAAACGCTTCTAAATAACAAACCTATTAGGAAACTGCATTTGCCTAAGTGAGTCGCCTCAGCGAAGTTTCCCCTTGCTGTTTAAGATTCCGGCAAGCTGCGCGTAACATATGCCTGACCTACGTTACGGTTGTTCCACTTAAAGGCTTTTAACAGTCGCGCCGCTGGTAACGTCTGAGGAGACTCAAGAAAATGAGCAAAAAATAATCCGAAAATGTACCACACCGGTTTGTTTTCCAAGAGCACTTTGCAGAGAGAATTTGAAAACGCGGCGAAAGAACGAACGCGCAAACTTTTGAGTAAGGTCCGGGAACCGACAAACAAACCATAAGGGAACTCCGCGAGTCCGAATTTCCGTCGAATATCTCCATTTTTCATCCTTTATCGTGACCTCCCCCGCCGTGCTGTAATTTCCGTCCGGGCGAAAGCGCAAACCCCCCCCCCGAGCGAGAAAAAGGGACCACTTTATTTACTTTCTCAGGCTCTCTTTCTTTCCTCATCGAAGAAAGCACCGTAAATGTGCACTTACTTAACGCGAGTCAGCCCCGGCACGCAGCTCATTAATTCTAACGGCTTGCAGCCCATTCGTTATTTATTAGTTAATAATCTACCCCACCGTATTTCACTCCCATACCTCTGGGGGAATTCGTGCGTTATCTAGGGATCCGGATTTTCTCTAAAAATATCGTCTCAGTTGCGATTTACCTCACTATTATTCCATCCCCCTCGAAAACAAGTATAGCCATGGAATCATAGGATAGCCTCTCTGTATACCGATTTCATATCGGAATTATGCCATTTATGAAGAATAAAATTCACCTACAGATCCGCAGTTTATAATTATATTCCATGGTTCTCGATATAGGCGCCCTTAGAAAAAAGTTCAGTTTACCAAAATGACTTTCTTCAAGCATAGGTAAACTGAGAAAAAAGCAGTGTCCTTAAACCAGAAAAACATATTTTTGAATAATCCCAAAGGAATATTTTGTTAATTCGAGGGATAATCACCAGTCTCAAATAAACTCGAATAAATCGGATGCGAGATTTCTTCAGAATTGTATCAATTTATTTGAATTTATTTCAGTCAAATAATTACTGATTAAATGAGGGAAATATTTCTTTGGTACTATTTAAAGAAACGGTTCTTTGGTTCAGTTTTTTTTTTTTTTTCCCCAATGTACGTACATGATTATATATGCGTTTTCTGAGCCGCGTGGATAATATAGGGTCGTTAAACGCAAAGTATAATGTTAACTGAATTAGTCAGGACCGTTCGTTGTAATCGTGGGTTAACATTAAAATATTCCATCGGTCGGTCGTTTCCACGTCTGGCGCAACGAGCACCTTCTCTACTGGACTATTTGCTCCTCAGCGAAGGCACTCTCGAGGGCCCCTCTGCGAGTGATCAATCACGAGTTTCGTCGTACACTTTTCTCCGCGCGTTTGATGGACTGGCGTTAATTCCGCAGCCGGTCCTGCCCGACATACATAGCCGAACGGGCCGATCAAAAAGTCTCGAAAAATATGTGTTTCCCCGGAGTCGAAGGCGGGCTGCGTCCTACTTTCAGGGTCGGGAAATTATGCGTCGAGGCGCCCCTAAGAGAGAAAGAACCGGAAAGTCTCGGTGCAGATTTATCGCAGTTATCACCGGTCTTTCCGCCCAACCCGATCGTATTTGTTCCCCGATGTGTAAGCCCCTTGGCACTTACTTGTCGCGTTGCGAATTTCTTGGATTTACTTGCGAGTTAAATCATCGGTGAGATCGATTTTCCCGATCGGTTTCTAAATCTCCAATATTGCCCGGG